TTTTTTTAACTTTTTATTTTTTTGTGTTATTTTGAACACAGTTTTGTCGAAAATTGAATATTAACCGCTCGTGTGATTGCGTATGATCTAGTTGACCGTGAATGTCCACGGTTCCAGAGCAGTTAGCTGGCCGCGTGTAACCGAAACGTGCAGCTGCAGAGTCTAGTTGTCCAGGGACCGGTTTCATGTTCCAGTTTTTTTTTCTCTCTCTACAGGCGTTGGTAACCCTGCACATCGCTTGCTAATGGCGCTGCCTACGTCTGCCCGACCGTACGCATCAAATAACTTTTGATCAAAAATAATGTGATTTAATTTGATATTGGAGGATTTTAAGATAACTTTGCCGGGAATTTTAAATTCACATTCAGATCGGACAATTTCAACGACACATGCGACAAATACTTTATTTTTTTCTATTGTATCTTCAAAACTTTACTGACAGTGTTTGTGCTCGCCACTGGTTGCAGTGAATTATGTTAATTTGTATGGGATTATTAATAACACTGATGCAGGTTTGTGTATAAACATCATTTTTGAGTTATTATACGCCATTTTTGCATTGCTGTAACCTTCGTCACTAAATATACGCCACTGATACAATGTAACCTGCATTATATGAAGTTCAACAGCGATGCTAATAACGCTGAAAATGTAATTGTTATTTGCCTTACTGAAAAAAGTAGCTCACGGTGACGTATTACTAATGTAATACACATTTCATTTCGTCCATTGGTATTAACAACCGTATATTAATGCATTATACTTAATGTTCCTTATATTTTGCTGTTTTTTTTCCATTTCCTTCTGCTAGTAAAAAATTCAGTACTTTGAAATTGCGTTTCATAAATCCCTATAAAGTACCACAGCCTTTGGAAAAGCGAATTTCGCGTATTTGCTATGTATGACGTAATGCCCAGGGGGGATCGAGATACGCGAAATGGCGTATCGTTTTTCCCCACAGCCTTCCATATCAGTTTGGGTTCAGGTCAAGTTATTCAAATGAAACAGAGACATCTCTTGGTGGCCAGAAACATCAGTGGCTTGTCAGAGACAACCGAGCAGAGGGCCCTCTTTAAGTGATGAAAAGGCCCTTTTTATTTTTTTATTTTTATTTTGATCTGTGTGGTACGGAAATGTCAGAATCTTGGGGTTTTAATGTTAGATTGTTTAGAAGGGAGGCGTGTACACATTTTTCCCCTGGCAGAGTCGGCACAGTATCTGCCAAAACTACGTAAAGTTTCTGAATCTTTCGTCGTGATTGGATTTTAAAAGTTTTGTTTTTGGAAACGTACATATTTAGACGCTTGTAACTTGTAGATTTACGAACTCAAGCTGCTGGATATTTATTTAGCAGTTTGGCTTCAATAAAGAATAACTGATTGGCGAATAGTCTCTTGTCCAACGAATAAACTCCTTGCTATTTTTTCCCCACGCGAAGATTTATTTTTGTGTTCACAAAAACCCGCCACTGTACCTTATTATAAGCCAGATATATTCGGTCTGCATCTTCATCCCGTGTTTGAGGTTCGTTTTAATATCATACCCCATCTACGAGGTGCGATCGGAAAGTTTCAAGACTGCGCCTATAAAAACCCGTACACTTATCTCAGGTATTAAATTCATCCATCACCCTCGAGGTAGTTCCCCTGGGAGTGAACACAACGATCCCAGCGCCGCTGCCAAGCCTGGAAGCATCCCTGGAAATCTTTCTTTGTCAGCCTGTCAAGCACCATCTGCGATTCTGCCTGAATCTCTTCTATCGTCTCAAATCTCCTTCCCTTTAGCTGAATTTTCATCTTTGGGAAGAGGAAGAAGTCCCACGGAGCTAAATCCGGCGATCCGGCAAGATCTACGTATGCTGTCGTCTCCCAAGTGGTCTGTTCTTTTAATATTTTTCTATAAAATGTTTGTATGCGTTTTATATTTACCCATACGCTCTACATGTCCAGCCCATCTCAATCTCCTGTTTTAATTACCGTCATAATAATTGGAGAAGGTCACAAATTATGAAGTTTATTACTCACTTTTTGCAATTTCTTTGGATTCTTTCACGTGTCTGTTGTTCCTAAAGGATTAAATTTAAAATTTTTTAAAGTTCTGATACTAAAGCGAATCTTAAGGAAATGCATTGTGTGGATGTAAAATTAATGTTATCTGTTTAATGCAGTCATTATTGGAAAATTTCGTTGTTGGGTACGTTCATTCTTTGGGTTATGTTAATGTGCCTTTAATTTTTAATTGTTTTTAATGAGATGTGAGTTAAAATAGCTACCACGTGTATATCTCACATTTAATGACTGTAACTGGTCATCGATGTTTTTTAAAAAATTATTTTGTGCTATCAAAAGCTCAGATTAATACATCGTCGAATGGTAATTAAGTCAACTCCATGAAGATGAGTCCTTCGTGAGAGGTTAATAGTATGCTTAGCTAGTCAAATTTCTAACCTTTTGTGGAATCAAAAGGTTTATTACGGTATTCATAATAGCCCCTCCGCCATACCCTATCCTGAGCCAGATGAATCCAATGTACACAAATCTTTTCCCTAATATCTATTTTAATATAATTTTTCCTTTTCCATCTACTCCTAGGTCTTGCAAATGGTCTTTTTAGGTTTTCCAACTAAAACTGTTGCCAGTTTTTCAACTACCAAAGCGCTCTACATACCCCGCCCATCTCAACCTAGCGTTTAATATAATTTTTCCTTTTCCATCTACTCCTAGGTCTTGCAAATGGTCTTTTTAGGTTTTCCAACTAAAACTGTTGCCAGTTTTTCAACTACCAAATCGCTCTACATGCCCCGCCCATCTCAACCTAGCGTTGAGTGACTGGATGTTTGTATGTGTTAATGTTAACCACCAAAATACGATCCTAATTGCCTAGAAATGAACCCGGGATTCTCAGAATACGAAGCAGGCGCGACCTTGGGTTGATCGATTGTAGTACGAGGTGAGATCGATCACGACCACGTGAATCATCGAAGTTTATACTGTGACTGTTGAGGCTTCTAAAGCCAGCCTTTGCTACTATCCCAGTCTGATCTGTCTCATCTTGTTTCCAGGGCTATGTGAAGAAGTCTCATTAGCTCAAGGACCTGCCTCGAGGCTTTCGCTTATATAGTTATCAATGCTTCCATTTTGTAAGACACAGCACGTTGGAAACACTGGTTCTTGAATAATGACCTCTGGCTGTAATTAAGACATGAATATAAATTACTAAGAAGGCTGTATTATCTCTGCTGGCTGTGGAGTGTGGCGGATAGCTGCTTCCTGTCGGCTGATATCTCAGGGTAATTAGGAGAAATTAATTACTCTAATTTAGTGTAGACTTCTTGTAATCATATTTCATTCATTAATGTTCCCTTCGTGGGTTACTTTATGTGATTATTTTACTAATTTTCTTCATTTGTTAGCTTTTAGAACTTAGTTTGTCTTTCACTTTTGTCTTATTGGTCAATTTAAATTCGCTTTTGTTCGGGGAAGGCGGGTAAATGGCGGACATTGAAGAGAAATTCAAAATTAAAATACACGCTCACATCAAATTATACACATACGGGCATTTAGTCTCAAAGGCATTCTCCATAAGTATGGAATATGGCATACGTTCAATTTAACTAAGATGTTCTAGGTTGAAAATACCGGAGGAGCCGATCTGATCGACATTACCCACCCTCGGAGGTTGTGATAATCACTGTTTGAGCTTCATTAATAAGCATATAGCTTAGCTTACAAAATGTATGCACATCTAAATCGCCTTAACGTACAGATTCTAAGTTCAAGTTCACTCACAAATATCTCTGTAACTGCAACAGAGGCATGCGGTCACAGATAATAAAAGATGGTGGGAGTTCGTTTATGCACTTCGCTGAATCAAACACTAGATAGCAGCACCAACTTGAAGCCCCTGTCTACTATCGTTTGTCACA